AAATAGATGTATCTGTCAAAGAAAATGTTAAATCTAAAAAATTCCTGACACAGACTGTCCAAGAAATTAAAGACAACATAAAAAGACAAAACCTAAGAATAATAAGAATAGAGGAAAAAGAAGATTCCCTGCACCAAGGCCCAGAAAATATTTTCAACAAAATCATTGAAGAAAATTTCCCCATCTTAAAGGAGAGGCCAATAAGAATACAAGAGGCCTACAGAACACCCAATAAATTAGACCAGAAAAGAAAATGCTCCCACCACATAATAATCAAAACTGTAACTGTACAAAACAAAGAAAAAATACTAAAAGCTGCAAGAGAAAAAGGCCAAGTAATATAATGACAAACCCATTAGAATCACACATGACTTTTCAACAGAAACTATGAAAGCCAGAAGGGCCTGGATGGATATCATGCCAGACCCTAAGAGAACACAGATGTCAGCCCAGGCTACTATACCCAGCAAAACTCTCAGTCCTCATAGACGGAGAAAACAAGATATTCAATGACAAAAACTAATTTCAACAGTACCTACAAACAAATCCAGCATCAGAAGACACTAGAAGGGAAAATACAACCCAAGAAAACTAGCTACATTCAAGAAAACACAGGAAATAAATAACCTCACTACAGTAAAACAAAAAGCAACCAAGCACACAACCGTATGACCACAGCCAACATCAAATTCAAAAGATCTAACAGCCACTGGTCATTAATCTCTATCAACATCAATGGACTTAATTTTCCAATAAAAAGACACAGACTAACAGAATGGATGCGTAAACAAAACCCAGCAATCTGTTGTATACAAGAAACACACCTAAGTCATAAAGATAGACATTACCTGAGAGTAAAGGGATGGAAGACGGCTTTCCAAGCAAATGGATGCAAGAAGCAAGCAGGAGTAGCCATTCTAATATATGATAAAATAGACTTTCAACCAAAATTAATAAAAAGAGATGGGGAAGGACACTTCATACTCATCAAGGGAAAATTCCACCAAGAAGACATCACAATCCTGAACATCTATGCCCCAAATACAAGGGCATTTCACATTTGTGAAAGAAACATTGATAAAACTTAAACCACACATAGATCCCCACACACTAATAGTGGGAGACTTCAACACTGCACTCTCAACAAAGGACAGATCAACTAAACAGAAATTAAACAAAGAAACAATATCTCTAACAGAGGTCATGAATCAAATGGACCTAACAGACATTTACAGAACCTTACACCCAAACACAAAAGAATTTACCTTCTTCTCAGCACCTCATGAAACCTTCTCTAAAATAGACCACATAGTTGGTCACAAAACAAGCCTTAACAGATACAAGAAGATTGAAATAATCCCTTGTATCCTGTCTGATCACCATGGAATAAAACTGGACCTCAATAACAACAGAAATAGCAAAAAGCCTACACATACATGGAAACTGAACAACTTGCTACTAAATGACAGCTGGATCAGGGAAGAAAGAAATTAAAGTCTTCCTAGAACTCAATGACAATGAAGACACAACATACCCAAACTTTGGGACATAATGAAGGCACTGCTAAGAGGAAAGTTCATAGCACTAAGTGCCTTCAAGAAGAAATTCGAGACAGCTCATTCAAGCAACTTAATGGGCCCACTTAAAAACCCTAGAAAAAGAAGAAGCAGACACACCAAAAAGGAGTAGATGGCTGGAAATAAACTCAGGGCTGAAATCAATCAATTAGAAACAAATAAAACAATTCAAAGAATCAATGAAACCAAGAGCTGGTTCTTTGAGAAAATCAACAAGATCGACAAACCCTTAGCTTCATCCCAGGTATGCAAGGGTGGTTCAATATATGGAAATCGATCAATGTGATCCACCATATTAACAAACTGAAAGAAAAAAAAAAACACATGATAATCTCCCTACATGCTGAAAAAGCATTTGACAAAATCCAACATCCATTCATGTTTAAAGTACTGGAGAGATCAGGGATACAAGGCACATATCTAAACATAGTAAAGGCGATATACAGCAAGCCTATAGCCAACATCAAACTGAACAGAGAGAAACTTAAAGCAATCCCACTGAAATCAGGGACAAGACAAGGCTGCCCACTCTCTCCATATCTCTTCAACATAGTGCTGGAAGTCCTTGCTAGAGCAATAAGACAGTTGAAGGAGATCAAGGGGATACAGATGGGAAAGGAAGAAGTCAAATTATCACTATTTGCAGATGATATGATAGTATACAAGAGTGACCCCAAAAACTCTACCAGGGAACTCCTACAGCTGATAAACACCTTCAGCAAAGTGGCCGGATACAAAATTAACTCAAAAAAATCAGTAGCACTCCAGTATACAAAAGACAAAAGGGCTGAGAAAGAAATTAGGGAAACAATACCCTTCACAATAGCCACAAATGACATAAGGTACCTTGGTGTAACCCTAACCAAGGAAGTCAAAGACTTGTATGAAAAAAATTTCAAGTCTCTGCAGAAAGAGTTAGAAGAAGATATCAGAAGATAGAAAGATCTCCCATGCTCATGGCTTGGCAGGATTAACATAGTAAAAATGGCCATCTTACCAAAAGCAATCTACAGATTCAATGCAATTCCCATCAAATTACCAACACAATTCTTTACAGACCTGGAAAGAAAAATTCTCAACTTCGTATGGAATAACAAGAAACCCAGAATTGCTAAAAAAAAATCCTCACAATAAAAGATCTTCTGGAGGTATCTCCATCCCTGATCTTAAGTTGTACTCTAGAGCAACAGTTTTAAAAACTGCATGGTACTGGCATAGAAACAGAATGATGGATCAATGGAACCCAACAGAGGACCCAGAAATAAACCCACACACTTATGGACACCTGATCTTTGACAAAGATGCCAAAACCATACAATGGAAAAATGATAGCATCTTTAACAAATAGTGCTGGTCCAACTGGATGTGTACATGTAGAAAAATGAAAATAGATCCATACTTATCACCCTGCACAAACTGAAGTCCAAGTGGATCAAAGACCTCAACATAAAACCAGACACATTAAATCGGCTAGAAAAAAAAGTGGGGAATACCCTAGAACTCATTGGTACAGGAGAAAACTTCCTGAACACAACACCAACAGCACAGGCTCTAAGAGCAACAATCAATAAATGAGACCTCATGAAACTGAAAAGCTTCTGTAAAACAAAGGACACTGTCATCAAAACAGAGCGACTGCCTATAGATTAGGAAAGAATCTTCACCAACCCTTTATCTGACAGAGGACTCATATCCAGTATATATAAAGAACTAAACAAGCTGAAAAGCAGCAAATCAAGTAATCCACTTAAAAAATGGGGAGCAGAGCTAAACAGAGAATTCTCAATAGAGGAATATCGAATGGCAGAGAAGCACTTAAAGAAATGCTCAACCTCATTAGCCATTAGGGAAATGCAAATCAAAACAAACCTAAGATGTCACCTTACACCCTTGAGAATGGCCAAGATCAAAAACTCAAGTGACAACACATGCTGGAGAGGTTGTGGAGAAAGGGGAACCCTTCTCCACTACTGGTGGGAATGTAAACTGGTACAACCACTCTGGAAATCAATCTGGCACTTCCTCAGACAACTAGGAATAGCGCTTCCTCAAGATCCAGCCATACCACTCCTAGGCATATATCCAAAAGAGGCTCAAGTACACAAAAAGGACATTTGCTCAATCATGTTTGTAGCAGCTTTATTTGTAATAGCCAGAAGCTGGAAACAGCCCAGATGCCCCTCAACTGAAGAACTGATGCAGAAATTGTGGTACATCTATACAATAGAATATTACTCAGCAATGAAAAATAAGGAAATCATGAAATTTGCAGGTAAATGGTGGGACCTGGAAAGGATCATCCTGAGTGAGTTGTCCCAGAAGCAAAAAGACACATGGTATATACTCACTCATATAGACATACAACATAGGACAAACCCACTAAAATCTGTGCATCTAAAGAAACTAAGCAAGAGAGAGGTCCCTAACTAAAATGTTCAATCCCCATCCTGAAAGGCAAAGAGGATGGACATCAGAAGAAGAAGAAAACAGGAAACAAACTAGGAACCTACCACAGAGGGCCTCTGAAAGCCTCTGCCCTGCAGACTATCAAAGCAGATGCTGAGCCTAATGGCCACCTGTCGGGCAGAGTGAATGGAATTTCATGTAAGCAGTGGGAAATAGTAAGAGCTGGGGAGGACAGGAACTCCACAAGGAGAGCAACAGAACAAGAAAATTTGAACACAGGGAACTTCCCAGAGACTCATACTCCAACTAAGGACTATTCATGGAGATAATCTATAACCCCTTCACAGATGTAACCCATGGCAGTTCAGTGTCCAAGTGGGTTACCTAGTAATGGGAAGAGGGACTGCCTCTGACATAATCTGATTGGCCTGCTCTTTGATCACCTCCCTGCTGAGGGGGGAGCAGCCTTACCAGGCCACAGAAGAGGACAATGCAGCCCCTTTTGATGAGAACTGATAGACTAAGATCAGAAAGGAGAGGAGAACCTCCCTTATCAGTGGACTTGGGGAGGGTCATGCATGCAGAAAGGGGAGGGAGGGTGGGATCAGGAGGGGAGGAGGGAGGGGCTTATGGGGGGATACAAAATAAATAAAGTGTAATTAATAAAAAAATTTTAAAATGTTAAAAAAAAAACCTAAAAAAAAAAAGAATCTGAGGCAGAAGGATCTGGAGTTCAGAGCTGTCCAGGGATACATAGTGAGACCCTGTCTCAAGGGAGAAATGAACAACACAAGAGGGCTTGGACTCAGTGCTAGAGTGTATGCCTAAAAACAAGACAAAAGCACAAACAAAAACAAAATAAAAACAACAACAAAGAAAATCATAGCCCTTGATGATTCTCTGAGCTTAAGTCTGACTGACACATATAAGCTAAGCATGGGTGAGGATGTTTCTGGGCAGATCCATCTCTTAGGCCAGAAAATATCCTTCCTGAGCTCAAGAAACAATGGGAATTACCTCGGTAGTCCAGAGCATAGGCATCTTGGACCTCTTCTGCATATACTTCATTGTAGCTTTCATCTGGATTGTAGCCTGAGCCTAGAATGAGGAAGAAAGTGTAGAAGTATATTCATTTCTCACTCAAGTACTTCCTAGTACCCTCAACCCTGTCTTTTTCTGAGAATCTGGCACTTCATGATGGAGCACTGAATTTATGTGTAAGCTACTGTGCATGAACCTGATTAAATAAGGTACACAGAGAGTAACCTCAGAGGTGTGAGGTGTGCTGAGGCCTCACTGGTTTTACTGGAAGACTTGCAAAATAAAAAAGAATTTAACTTCTTAACCACCTCTTAATTCTGCCAATCTAGACTATAAATGACCCATTCCCCTCATGCAGCTCACTAGTCTTGGTGAGCTAAGATCTGGGGATGGGCTGTTCCAGCTCTGAGGAAATAACAGCACCTAAGTGTCTTCTCCAGTGATAGATGTTGCACACAGTTTTCACAGGGAAACAATCTTTCAAGCTCCCACTAGCCTCCAGGGCATATTAAGTGCCTGATTGTCATTGTTGGGGTGGCATGCCAAGATAGATGTGTAGCTTAAAGGGCAAAAGGGAATGAAAACTCTTTCATAGGCACCTTATTCTGGCTTGGAGTAAAAAGAGAAGTCAGAATCAGGTCTTTTTGTTTTTGTTTTGTTTTTCCTCCCCAGCCCTAACAATTGAACCTAGTGCCTCATATATGTAGTACAATAGATAATTTCCTGTCCTTCTTGTCAGGAGCAGCTTTAGCAGTGAGCTGCTAAGCTAGAACACATTTCCAGTCTATCTAATTTCATCCAGTTAAGTGGCACAGTCCCCAGTGGTGGTAGGTCTGCAGCTGTCTGGGAGACTAAACAGTGTGTTCCACCCGAAGCAGGAAATCGGTCATGAATAGGAACTAATTGGAAAACAATTTACTCCTTTCCATAGCAAAGTTTTCAGAAGGCCTTCCCTAATGGCTCTGAGCTCCAATGCATGTGCAGGAAGAAGGCAGCCAGCGTTTTGGAGTCTAAAGACAAGTATCTATTTCCAGGTGAGGTTGTGCTTCCAGGATACAGCTTAGTTTTAGAGTTGTTTGACCTACAGAAACACACAAAACATAAGCCTGTGTCCTTTTCTTGGGCAGAGGCAGAGGGCCTCCTGCAGTGAGCAGAGAGCAAGATGATGGAGCTCCTTGACTCCCCAGGGCCCAGGCTAGGAGTGTGTGTGTGTGTGTGTGTGTGTGTGTGTGTGTGTGTGTGTGTGTGTTGGGATGGGTGGTGGTGGGTGGGTGTGAGTGTCAGTCCAACTTGGTAAACATGGAGATGAATCAAATTGCAAGTTTGTCTTATGAAATCATGTCCTTATTGGTTAACCCTCATTCCAAAGGAAAGGGTTCACATTTTCTCTTCAGTTTTGCTCTTTTCATATTTCAGTTTGTCTGACTTTCCTTTATTTCTTCTTAGGTCCTCTCTTCTCTTTCCCACATGGGAGGATTGTTTGTACAGCATGGAATCCTTGTCAGCTGTTTCAGTTTAGTGTTAACCTCAATCTCTCACAGCTCTTGTAAACAGAAGACCGGATGTGTTTGGTTCTCTAAAGAATTAGGCCTCTCCATTCTTATTGCAGAGCTAGCTTGTGAAAAAATGTGCTTCAGGGAACAAACAGCTGTTCACCAGAAAAGAAAGAAGGGTGGACTAGACCTTTGTCTGAATAAAGTAATGACAATGACAACTTTGCTCTTAATCTGTAGAGCATATCCTAGCTCATTATGTTGCCATAACATCTCAATTGGGTACACACCATTAATATTCACCATTAATATACATACCATTAACATATAGACACAGGAGTTGACTCAGAGGAATAAAAGGTGTTGCTCAAGGCCTCCTAGAGAGTACATTGCAAAGTAGATCTCCCACCCCAGGTCTGTTTGAACCCTATCGACTCAGATACCAAAATTCAAATGGGAATAGAGGAGGTGTTTTGACTATGTCCAGAAGGGATAAAGAAAATCTGTCCTGCATGGCAATGGGGTGGGGAGACTGTAGACCACCATGCATTTTATACCATTCCAGAATTACAGGGGATGTAGGAAAAGAGGGGAAGACTCAATCACATAATTATAGTCTTCACCAGAGTGCGGAGGTAGCTAAACCAGTGCTAGGTTTCTTTTGTAACAGGAATGGGCTTGGGCTACTTAACCACTTAAATTTTCCCATTTCTCTTGGTTGCCTACTTTTGAATACTTTATGCACATGTTGAAATACTGAAATGGGCTCTAACAATGAAACTATACAGAAGGACACATCCTCCATTTGCTTGAACAACATTTCTCAGGTTTTTTTTTTTTTTTTTTTGCTTCAATCAGTGGTTCCTTACTGTGTGGTCTCTTCCTGGGTTCCTTTATATTTCACAGCTAAGAGGGACTGTAATTCCAGCCCCCCATGGATGTATGGTTGGGAAGATATTTGACAATTGAAGATTATGTTAGGAACTACATTAATGCCTGCCTTCTGCTGACAAATACAGTGTGACTCCCTGAAATATGTATTAGTAATCAGGCAACTCTGCTATCAGCCCCAACAACCAGGCACTATCAAAGCACATCATCACCAGCCCGTCATCACCAGTGCAACACTTTTTCCACCCTCCAGGTACCACATGTTGGTACCTGAACATGTGCTGAGCTGTGACAGCTTTATGATAGCCACAAAGCAGTCATCTATCTCCTTCACATGCGCAGAGTCACCTTATAAAAGACCCCGTCCACTTTACTCTGCCCTTTTTTTTTCTTTCCACTGCTTCCTCCAGAAGCTGCTTCTGTGTTCCCCTTCCCTAATAAACTTCTCATGTGAGGCCTGCCTTGTGGTGTGACTTCTTGGTTTATATCATTCAAGTCTGTCATCTAAATCACAACAATATGCAAGTACTCCAGTACACATTTTTAACACACTCATTCTCATGTAATGCCTTAACTTTTCCCACTCTGTTGATTTTTTCCTGGACACATTTTCTCACTTACCCTGAGTCTACACTTAGCTGCTTTTTTTGTGCCATTTCCATTTGGAAACAAAGGCAAAAAAAAAAAAAAAAAAAAAAAAAAGAACAAAATAGTCCTTGGCATATAGGCAATGTTTAACATGTATTTGTTGAATTCACAAACGAATGAATGGGCAAATGTACACAAACCCAGTGGGTGAGCCAGCATTGAAGGGGAGAATCATTAAATCTCCAAATATCTCCCAGAGAACTTAGCAGCCTGGGTTCCTTCCAAACAGTGTTTGCTATGGTGATTCATGTAGTAGTCGGGAGTATCTTATTTGCAGAGAACCTCACATGGAGTTAAGGATTTTTAATGCCTTGTCTGAAAAACTCTTAACATCTCAGGCTTTAATAAGTTTCATACAGGTGTTCAAAACTAGGGTTTGAACCTTGGCTCTCCACTCCCTTAGTTCTGTGGTCTTTTGAGTAGGTTTTGGTCTTCTGTGCTTGAACTGAAGCCAGAGGTGTTTGGGGAGAACAGCTGCATATTTATCTCCAGAAGACTTGGGGCTCTTTTAACCCCAAACAGTGTGAACTCTGCCAAGGGCTTAATTTGAATTTCTTCAGCTGAATGTAAGCCCTTGTGCTTTAACCCCCTACAAAGCCAGGTTAAGCTAAAGAGGTGAAGAAGCTTGCATACTTGTTCGAAAGCTGGATGTAGCTGTTCCAGACAAACAGAGCTGCTGCCAAAGGCCTCTAACCAGGAGCCGCGGGTATGTGGAAAATTTTAGCGGCAATGACTGTAGCTGTGATGGTTGCAGTTTATTATTTACTCATCTCTGGATAGTTTCCTAACCCCATTGGTTCAGACTGTCTCATTCCCCAACTCTCTCCAGTTCTTATGAGGGCAGACACTGCAGGCCACAGAATATTCTTAGCACTTGAAATTCCACTGGAACCCAATCAAAACAAACCACCTCTGTATGGTGGTTCAGTTTCCTTTCCTTACCTCCTCCCCCACCTCTTGCATTCTACCCGCCTTTCCTATTTAGTCCATTCTTGTTGGCTTGCTATGTCTCCCAGCGGTGAGGAGGGAATAATTCAGGACTCCAAAAATCTGCATCTTTTCTGAAATAAGGAACAAGCCAGAAGAGACAGGGGTATTCCTAATTAAGGGAACATGATTTGTATTGCCATTGACTGTGTTGGCCAAAAAAAAAAAAAAAAAAAAAGGCCATACAAAACTCTGGAAGATTGAAACGGGGGAAGTCTGGTGAATTTTTGTTCCCTCTTAGAGACTGCCTGTCTTCCTTATTTTTTTTTTTCAAAATGAGATACATGGTGTGAGTTCTATTTTCTAGACTTGACAAGGATATTTGACTCAGGAAAAAATACTGATAAATCTTTGATTTATTAAACACATATTAGAAAAAAAGTTTTCAGTGGGTTGTGGATAGAATTGAGTGGTAGAGAACTTGCCTAGCATTTTTGATACGCTTAAGTTCAATCCCCTGTGTAGAAAGCAAAACATATAACAAAACAACCAAACACATAGCCAAACCTAAAAACCCCATTGATGTCAGGAAGTTAAGTGAAAAGGTCAACTGGAAAAAAAAAAAAAAGAAAAGAAAAGAAAGAAACAAGTAAGCATAGCCCAAAGGCCACACTGTCTCACTTTTCTACTTTTGTGTTACAACCTATTATCAAGTAGCTCTTACTATAATGCCTCATGGGCCTTGGCTGGTAGCCCTTTTTAATATTTGGTCATTTTTCTTGCCACCTAACAGTTTTTCTCTGGGTCTAAGTTAGGGATCCCTCATTTTAGTCTCATTCTTCTTGCTTCTAAATCTTGGTGTAGTTCCCTAGAAGGAACAGACAACAGCTCACAGAACTTACCTGCATACCATGTTGGTGTCACTGCTGGCATTAGAAAGAGCAGTAGTGAGAGAACACCTTTTTGAGTCAGTCGACCAGCCATCCTTGTCAGGGAAGCTTCAGAAGAGCAGAATAGGGCTATGCGGCCAGAGGTATTAGAGTAAGGGAGAATGACTTTCAGAGCTGAGCCAGCTATGAACTCCCAAAAGTTAGAGGAAGCAGATATATGGGATCTGTGAGGAAGATGAGTTTAACATTAATCAGTTCTAGTGGTGTAATCTGGCTCATAATCCTTTCCTACTTCTTTGGATTTATGATGCTCCCCCCCCCCATTCTCTCAGCAAGAAGAAAAGGGCATTAAGCAACGAATCCTCAACTTACTCTGGTGCCATCAAGTGAAAATATTGCTTGGTCCAAGTCACAGGGAGGGACATTGGAGTTCTAAGATCAGGAGAATACTAACACAAAGTCATATAGAAGTGGAAGGGGATCTGAAAGCCAAGGGCTATTAGTTAATGATTGTGTCCACTCAGTGTTCCTTAACCATGAATCTGGGGAAGCATTAACATACATGGCCTAAGACCTTCAGCACTGTAATGATGCAGATCTGGAAATGAATCCAGTTCTGTTAGCAAATTAGATAACTTCTCTAGGCCTCTGTTTCTTCACCTATAAAACAAGAAAAAATAGTACCTACTTCTTGGAATATATTATTTCCTGCCACAAAGGGAAAATAATTGGCATGTTTTGAAATTATTATTACTAACTTCATATTAGATGAGACAGGACATCTCCTTTCTTTTGCTTTCCAGGCAATAACTATAGCTCTGCTCTCTTCTTAGCTTTGGGTTTTGAGGCTTAGTGGTTTGATCGTCACTTCTGGCTTTCATGTCTAGCCTACCCCTCTAGTTTTGCCCTGCTGAGCTAACAGCTAAACAGCAAAGTTGGAGAAGAGCTACCTAATGAGTCCACAATGAGAATATGAGCAATCTCCTATTACTATCTCATTTTTCTTTCTCGGGAAATCTTCACACCAGTGAGATGAGATGAGATGATGAGATGAGATGAGATGAGATGAGATGAGATGAGATAATTCTGTGGTGCTACTGGAAAAGTACACCTCAAGTAGCAGTACTAAACCTTGCTGTCCATCCATGTAAAACAGTCACTGGATCTTTCAGCAAGCATTATTTGCCCACATGTGTTCCAGGAAATGCCATCCTCAGAGGGACACAGTCTCAGAAACAGAGAGACAAAAAAACAATTGCAGGTTCTGGGCAAAGTCCTTAAAGGGACAGCTGATAAATCAAAAATTCATTTTCCAAGTCATTACTCCTTGACTTTAGATCTACAGTGTCTATGAAGTAGGATAGAGAGGAAAGTGAGAGTAAGGAATGGGGGTAAAGAAAGTGGAAAGCTGTAGTAAGGATGATATCAAGAAAAAAGAAAAAACATAATGGATATAAAGGAAATAGATAGACTAAAGCACCACGTAGCAGCAGAAAGAGAGCTTTAAAAAAGAGCCAGGGAAATGAGCTAATCACTGACCCTTCTTCCATATCCAGCCTCAAACCAATTCCTTTGCAGAGGAAAAAAAGGTTTTCCTGTGCCAGCCCCCATACTCTTTTTGAGCCTGTGACCTCCTGCTCACTTCCTCCCCAATCTCAGACTGAAAAATTAGACTCACCGGAGGGAGCCATCGTTCTGCTGGAAGCTGAAAAGAGAGAAGGAACATGCATCTGCAGCCAGCACAAATGAAAACAGCACATGATCCAATTTCATTTAAAAAAATAGTTTCTTTCCTCCCTCCACCTCCAGTCATATCATCTGAGTCCAGGCTCTTTTGACCTTTCCACAGCTGTGAAATGGGGCAATTCAGTGTGAGGGATTGAGTATAGTACTTACCTTTTTAATTTTACTTTTTGTGGTCTCCTCCTCTCTCCTCTTTCTCCTTGCTCTCTGCTCCTGTCATCAGTCGGGGGAGGGGTGAAACCTCTTCTACTTTAACATTCCTAGAACCAGTGGCTCCTGGTCTGTCAGGGCCTCCAGGATTCTGGTAACACCGCCCAGATGTTAGGATGCTTGCGTTTGCCAAAAGTTGTCTTAAAGCTATATTATCCCCAAGGCTATAGTTGTTAATACCCCCCCAAAAAGTTTTAGAGAGGTGGAGGAAGAAACAGGAGGATTAGAGGAGCTGGGTCTGTCTGCTGCAGAGTAGAGGAAGTGTGAATGATATTGGCCTCAAGCTCTGAGTGTAGTGATGACTAACAAAGGACTTCCAGAGATTTGTTCTGAGGAACACTACATTTTATGACTCAGAATGACATCAGGGTTGAATGAAAACGAATTTCACGGACTCCAGAGCAGAGACTCATGTAGCTGATTTTTAGTGTTTCCCTAGGGATTTTTTCCTATAGTTCCTTAATTCTCTCAAATCCACAATTGTTTTGTCAAGTGTACAACACAGGGTCAGATTCACTTTGAAACCTTCCCATGAACGACTTAACTTTTGTTTTTGTTCTTTTGGAAATTTTCTTTTTCGTACATCATGATCATGTTTTCCCCTCCCCTGATTTCTTCCAGATCCTCCCCCACCTTCTTACCCACACTTCTTTTTCTTGCTCTTTAAAAAATAACTTTTTCGGTCATAAGTTTCTTATTAGATTATGTTTACAAAATATATCACTTGTGTGTGTGTGTGTGTGTGTGTGTGTGTGTGTGTGTGTGTGTGTGT